TCAACTGCTCAAAAAGATAGTTGACGATCTTTTCTACAGTAGCGGCTTCTGCTTTTATAGCTAACGCTGCGACACCGGCAATTGCGGTATTTCTCAGTTCGTCCGATGTCGATGTAACAGAGGCTAAAAGCACAATAATGGGGCCATGAAATTGAAATAAAATTAAATCTATACTCACAGGTTAGTCCTTTCAGCAAGTCGTTTACGAATTCGTCAAGAGGGTGCTCGGAAGACTGAATCGCTTTCACCACACCTTGTAATGCGAATGATCAACAAAAAAGCCCCAACAATTCGACTCAGAAGTATTCGCAGAATTTACCAAATAATGCCACCTCAGGACTCCTCAACAACGACTTTTTTATATTCGGCAGCAGCTGATCACGGAACTCTGAGGCCGAAATAGAACTGAGTCTCGCGCCACAAAAATCCTAAAACAGAACGTGAATACAGATGACCAGCCATATTTTGACGTACAGCGCTCAAAGAGGAAGTTTTGAAACTGACTATGACGAATCCCTCAGGCTTGCTCTTTGGAAAAAGAATTGCCTTCGAAAAAACGTCTAGGTATAGAGTATGATCTACATCAGCTTGCACCTTAAGCATCTGCATGAGCAAAAGAAAACGCAAGACCGAAGACTCAACGGACAGTTACCTTCAGGAGGAAAGCCATAAGGCAAACCATTTTCTTGGCCGATGGTGCATCTTTACAAACTTCCGTGATGCCTTCTTTCAAACGCCTTGCCTGTTCACCATTACTGATCAACAATCGAAGTTTTTTCTCGAATATTCCAGAGGCTTTGCCGCTCGCACAGCAATAAAAGGCAAGCGTTCCCAACGCAGATACCTCAAAGGAAAAAAGTTTGAGTGATCTGCTTTCAACTGGCTTCTCCACTTCACTAGACACAAACAAAGCAGTACTAAAACAATATTTAAGGAAACCAACCAGTTCAGGCACAATTGCCTCTGCCACTTGTGGGAAGCGCTGCAAAATCCATTTCAAAGGTGGAATTCCTGTGCCAGCAATGCTCTCGCTTTAAAAGAAGGTGTTTATGACATATAGGCTATGGTCAAACAGAATCAATCAAGAGTAATGAGCCAGATGCCATCAGAGATCCTCACTTGGGTTTTTTTGACAGCCTAAAGGCTCTTCTCAACAATGTATCTCATGAACGATCTTAATTCTCTAGTATCTTTGACACTGGAAGCACTCGAATACAATAATTCGCCTTTACTCTACCGTACCTTTTTTACAATCCTTCATTTTTTTTTT